ACACTAGAAATGGTGTAGGTGTAATTATAGATAAGAGTTTGAAAAATAATATTGTAAAAATTAATATAATTGAAGATAAAATTATAACTCTTAAGATTATTGTTGATACTAAGATTTTTAATATTATCAGTGCTATACTCTTCAAGTTGGTTTAGATATAGGCTCTAAAATTTTTTTTAGAATGACCTAAAAGACTTAATACAAATGTTACATTTTAAAGAAAGAGTTTTTTTTTTGGAGATTTAAATGGACTCGTCGATAGTGGTAGAAGATTGTAGAAATATTCATGGTGACTACGGTTTGCGGTGATTAATGAAAAAGATAGAGCCATCTTAGATTTTGCTTTAACTAATGATTTTGTTGTTGCTAATACTTTATTCAAGAAAGAGAATGGATCTAATAAAATACAAATTGATTATTTTCTTATGAGAAGCAAAGATTGTCTAGAATGTAAAGATTGTAAGGTCATTCTAAGTGAGGATTTAAGTACTCAACATCGATCATTAGTTTTAGATTTTAAGATGAAGAGTTCTAAAATGAAGAATACTAGGAATCATTGTCGTAGAATTAGATGGAGACACTTAAAAGACAATTATTTTTATGAGTAAATTTTAAGATTTCAAAATTTGGGATGTTCATGAAGAAACAAATTCTATGTGAGATAAAGTAACAAATACTATTAAACAAGTGACAAAAGATGGAAAAAATTGAAGTATGGAGGTCTGCATTGGAATCTAAATGCCTTCGTTTGAGTACAACTAAAATTGAATACATGGAATGTAATTTTAGTAATAGCAGCTCTAGTGATAAACTTGTAACTCTGGGTGATCAAAATATTAAAAGGTGTGAACTCTTTAGATATCTTGGGCCTATTGTTCAATGTGATAGTGATATAGATGGGGATTTTATTAGTAGAATTCAAGTTGGTTGGTTGAAGTGGAGGAATGCTTCGGCCCTGTTATGTGATAGAAAAGTATCACTGAGACTGAAAGGAATATTTTATAAGATGGGGGGTGGGACTTGCAATATTCTATGGTGCTGAATGTTGGCCATTAAAAGAGAAGCATAAAACTAAGTTAGGTGTTGCCGAGATGAGAATGCTTAGGTGGATGAATGGCTTTACACTTAGAGACAAAATATGAAATGAATATATCCGTGATAGGGTTGGTGTAGCTCCAGTGACAGACAAAATTAGAGAGAGTGGTCTTAGATGGTTTGGTCACATTAAACATCGACTATCCGATGATCCGATTAGGAGAGTAGATGTCTTAGATCCGACTTATGTTAAAAAGACAAAGGTAGATCTAGAAAGACTTGGGCATATTGTATAAAAAATGATCTTAATTAATTAGAATTAAATGAAAATATAACACTTAATAGGACGCAATGGAGAAAAAGGATCCATATAGTCGACCTCACTTGGTGGGATAAAGGTTTGTTGTTGTTGTTGTTGTATATTGGCAATATTTTTTAGAAAATTTTAACTCATTAACTTAGAACACATATGTTCTCTTTTTTAAAAAAAAATATTTAAATTTGACACCTCAATGCTATGTTAGACACATCGAGGCCATGTTTGAGCCGTGTCTGATACATGGCCGGCACTATACGGTTTCTTAATTGGAATTGTTGGTGCATTATAGTTATAGTTGATAAAAACATTGCTAAAATAATTTTTATTAAATTTAGTAAATTTAGTTAAATTTAAACTAAGTAAATAATTTTTCTATATTTAAAAATTAATATATCAAAATGATTGAATTGAAAAAAAATAGAATTATAGATTTGATGATTTTTCACGATGTGTGAAAAATTAGACATGATTTAAAATTAAATTATTAGTTTACCTCTTTGCCATTTTTTTAGGTGTTAAATATACTATGACCTTTTTTATCTCGTTAGGATCAATGACAATTAGCATGGAAGAATGATGTTAAATAATTCGTAGCTCCTGGATTGCTTTGGTCTGCATCATAGCTCCAAAGATATTTTTGGAACCATAAAGTTTCTTGTCCATATTTGAAGGATCCAATCTAATTGAAATATTGGCTGATAATAGGTGGCTGACTTCCAGCGGGGTAGGGTTTAAACTCACTGATGTAATCGAAGGAAGGGATGCACAATAAAATCACGCATAAAGTCATCACAGGTTATTAAATTCTAACATGAGCAAAACTTATTTATCTTTAATACAGAACAACAAATGTTCTTAACTTAAAATTTTTTATAGGAAATTTAAAAGCAACTATAAAATTCAGCGGTGATTATAATTCACACCCATAAAAAAAAAATGACATGTGTCATCTTATAGAAAATCTAGATCTCATGTCAGTACATGGAAACTTCCCTCCAAAGCAGTCATCAAGACTTATAAAGCGCTCAAAGAACTAATATTCTATAGGACACATAAATTGAGGAGAAATGAAATTTTATTTCATTACTAAATATTTATGATATCAATTCAATATGATATCCCAATTGAAGTGTGGAAATATTTAGGAGATTTGGGATTTTCTTGAATCACTAAACTCTTTAATATTATTTTAAAAACTAAAAAGATGCCTGAGGAGTGGAGGAAGAGTATTTTGGTCCCCATTTTATAAATAAAGGGGATGCACAAGAGTGTGCAAATTAAAGAGGAATTAAGTTGATGTGTTATACTTGAAGTTATGGGAGTGGGTAATTGAACATAGGTTAAGATGCATTACAAAAATTTCTCATAATCAATTTGGATTTATGCCGGACTGATCTACTATGGAAGCCATACATTTATTGAGAGGTTTGTTTTATTGAGAGGTTTGATGAGTTCAGAGATAATAAGGAGAATCTACATTTGATTTTTATTGATTTAGAAAAAACTTACAATAAGGTTCTAAGAGATATCCTTTGGAGAGTTCTTGAGAAGAAACGTGTTGATATGACTTATATTCAAGTCATTAAAGATATGTATACTAGAGTTGTTACTTGTGTTCAAACTGAAGGAGGATTGACCAAATATTCTCCTATTTCTGTTGGATTACATCAGGGATCGGTTTTAGCCCATATCTATTTGCTTTAGTTATAGATGGTCTTACGAGACATCTACAGGAGGATGCACCTTGGTGTATGCTTTTTGCTGATGATATCCTTCTCGTGGATAAAATGAGAGAAAAAACCCAGGAAAAACTTGAATTATGGAGGTCTACATTGGAGTTTAAAGACCTTCATTTAAGTAGAACTAAAACTGAATACATGGAATGTAATCTTAGTAGTAGTAGCTCTAGTGACAAAAGTGTGACTTTGGGTGATCAAATTATTAAAAGGTGTGAACTGAAGCTAAGAAATTCTTCAAAATCTTATGAGATAAAATTTAAGAATAGAACTTTTAATTTAATACACTTGAATTCCATAAAAAAAAGCTTTCAATCTTAGTTTCCATGTAAATAGAAAATTTCAACTTAAAATTTTGTTTCGACAAGTACTTATATAACTCCAAGTATAGAAAAAAAATAGAAGTTTGTGAAAAATGAAGTTATTAAATAATTGCACTCTACCTATTACCGGTTTATTAAATTAAAAAACTACTCTACAAACTAGGAACAAAATAAAAGTCACAAAAACTCATATATGGAAATAGATGAACATGCTACATTCCCCATAAAAGAATTCCTTAGGCTCCCAGTTTTGATCATGGGAATTTTTATTTCTTCATTTTGGATTAAAGGCGGACCACATTGGATAATTTTTGTTTGGACTAATCTATTTCGATTTGTTTTATTTTATATAAATTGGTTTTGAAGTATGATAGGATAAAGGTATAAAACTGAATGGATAAGTAGTTTTTTTTTGTAATTTTTCTTAATGTGGGTATGCTTTCAATGATGAATGCAAGGAGAGATGTTATCATTTATCATGCTTTACTTAAAGGAAGGTGGCAATAGTGCTAGAGATTTAATTATTTTGAATGTGTAAACTAGATAAGAACCTTGAATTTAGAAGGTAGCATGATGATTTTTTAGGTGAGGAGTACATAGGATTGGTTATATATTCAATTTAAGAATAAGTTTAGGAGGATTTTTTGGAGCTTAATTTGGTGATGTGCAGGGAGAGAAAATTTTCTTGGAGATTGGAAGGGGATTGAGACATTAGGAAAATGAAAAAATTATTGATAATTTTTTGGATTATTAGAAAAAGTGAGCTCTTGATTAATTAAACATTTTAAATTTTATTTAATTGTTGTTTTGGGTTCAAGAGTAGCTATACGAAGTTAGGTTTTGTTAGGTTGGGGGGTGATAAAAATAAGCTTTAAAAGGAGTGGGTAGCAGTTTGATGACAATAAGTTACGAGTGGGTAGCAGTTTGATGTCGGTGAAAAACTGAAGTGGTAAAGGGAAGAAGAATTAGGAGAGGAATAAAAATAAGCTTTAAAAGGAGAAAGGTATGGGGTAGAGAAAAATGAAATTAAAGAATAGCTTCACTGGAAGGGTAATTATTCTCAACAGGGAAAG